CACTCACTCGCTTCTAACTCACCCTGTGGGGGTAGGCGGCGGCCAGCCCGAGCAGCAGGGGCGCTGCGAGCAGAAGGGCGGTCCAGGCGCTGGGTGCCATGCTGAGAGAGCCTGCAACACAAAACGGCCGAAATAACACAACACTCACTCGTTTAGCGCGAGAACGAATAAAAACACTCAAACAATCTGTTCTGCCGGGCGCGGGCGTGGGTATAGGGTCCTCGTGGAGTACCCACACACACCCTCCGACTCACTAGCACCCTCCCCCTCCCCTCCCCCTGCCCGCAATCACCTCTCTTTTCGGCGGCGCCAACACAAGCCGAGCCATTCAACCAAAGCAAACACGAGAAACACAAAACTCAGACATTCATCCTGGCCTGGCCGGCCGCCGAGCAGCAGGGCAGGCAGCTCGGCGCTCTGTTGCTGCTGCTATTTGCCCAGCGCCTCGGCCAATGAGGGGCGCGCAAACAGAAAACACTTTTCGCGGAGTTTGGCGGCACGCGGGGCGGCCGCGGCCGGGCCCAGGGCTGTCCGAGCCGCACCCCGCCCGGCACGCCCGACCCCACCCGGAGATTGGCACGGGGGGTCGGCGCGGCGCCGACAAAAGTCGCCCAATTATTTTTCGGAAAGCTGCCCTGATCCCCGAAAATGCCACCGCGGCTACCGCGGCCGTCAGCGAGCGGGTGCCGCGGGAGTTTCGTCTCTGTGGGAACGGCGGGGCGGGGGCGTGTGGTGGAGAGAGCGCAGAGCGCCACCGGGAGCTCCCCCGGGGCCCCGCAGGGGTTGCCAGCTAGCAGCGGCCAGCGGCAGCAGCCGAGTCCGGAGGCGGTCTAGTGTGCGGCGTGGTCACTTTGGGCTCTCCGCTCGGGCGCGCCTCGATGGCGCACTTGTGGCGCTCTATTGGGACACACTCCTGGCGTGTGACCCTCTCGACCAGCCGCTCGACTCGCCGCCGCCGCCCCCCTGAAACGGCCCGCAGCCGCCACTGCTGCTCTCTCTCTCTCTCTCTCTCTCTCTCTCTCTCTCTCTCTCTCTCTCGAGAAAGCGCGCCAAAGTGTACCACTACTAGTGCTCCTACTTTAACAACGAATTACTAGTTTAAAAGTGACAAGTGGACCTCAAAACCTTCTGTGAAGTGTTCCCCTAGTGACTGTGCAACCATGTGAGTGTTAGTGACAGTGTGCTCCGCTCGGATCGGATCAAAATCTGATTTTCATCCGGCACCATGCAGAACGCGCCGTCGACCATCATCAGGGAGACTAACCTCACCCATGACCCACCAACCTGCTTCTCCAGTGCACCACATCAAATCTACACCGAAACCTACTCATCAGTGCTCTCCAAATCAACTACCGCAAGACTCCAAGACTCTTCTCAACGACGAACCTCGACCACTACGACAGACCTAACCTCAAAACAAGGTAGCCATCTTGGTTTTCCAAGCCAAGCCTCCTCGCGATCGTCATCGCCCACTCGACAAGGCGCTGCAAGCGTCATCAACAACAACAGTAGCGAGAGCAACATGGCGACCTGCAGCAGACGAACTGTCAACAACAACAGTGACTCCACCTCAACCTACCGCCCATCAAGACAAAACGCCGTAGTCCTAGAAAATGTTCAGCAGGTGTCCCAAGACCAGTGTTTGAGAGCCGTAGCTGACATTATACTAGGCCAAAACATTCACTACTGCAACCGACTCAGCGGAGGAAGACTCTGCCTCTACCTGACCGACGAAACATGTGTAAACAAACTTTGCAACAAGGGAGGCGTCGATGTAGGCAATCTAAATTTGCCATGCCGAAGATACGTCTCTGAAGCCACAAAACTCATTATCTCCAATTGTCCACCTGAGATGCCCGATGACGCCCTACAAAAACTGCTCCAACCCTACGGTAAAATAGTATCCACGCCGACAAGGCAAAGTGTCACCACCAACCATGACGACCTGAAGCATGTAATGACTTGGAAGAGGTCCCTCTACATGCACATCCCGACGAACGCCCCTCCGTGCCCAGAAGTGTTGCAAATCACTAATGCCGAGGGAGCGAAACATACAATGTACATTGAAACCATCCAATGCAACTTCTGCAGAAGTCCAAATCACGCCATCGAAAGGTGCAAGGTGAAACAAAAACAAAACGAAGAATACCCAGCTCTAACCTACACGCCATCGCCATCACTCCGCCTTTCCATCCCAAGAGCAAGAAAACAGCCGAAACCAACACCCTCTCCTGACAACCCCAGCCCAGAAGAAAACCTAACCTCAACTACCAGCCCGCCCGCTGACGCCGCTGTCTCCGACGCCGCCGCCGCAAGCACAACCGCTGTCCACACCACCTCCACCACCGACACCAGCGACACCACCACCCCCGCTAGCACCATTTCTTCAACCAGCCCGCCGACTGATGTCGCCGTCTCCGACCTTCAACCCAACCAAAAAGACAATGCAAGCCCAGAGGACTCTCCAGAGTGCCTAACCTCCAACACCGTCCACCCACAGCCAGCGCC